AGAGAAGTGGGCGTGACCAAGAACGCTTGCAAGTGGCAAAGAGCAGAGGAGGCAGAGAGCTGAAACCGTGACATGCTGTGCTCTTTTAGACCTTTTAGAGTTTTGAAACATTGTTTAGAATATTGCAAGAGTGTGGGAAGGGTTTAAAACACACACACACATATGCAAGCCCCTTAATTTATTTATTTATTTTTTTCAGAGTTTGGTGTTCCATGTGCATATTTGTAGCAAACCCACAAATGTGTCTTCAACAGCTAATGCCAATGTTGAAAAATAGGTTTTGCTTGTACAGTTACCGCTACGGATTTGTGTTGGAAATTTGTCTCAGCATCTAGAGCAACAAAATTAAGTCACAGCCATTTTAAAGTTTGATCATTCAATCAAACTCTGTTTATTTATATGCAGCAACATTAAATCATTTCAAGACACTACAAAAACATACACAAACTGTATAAAGGTCAAATTAGCAAAAAGTAACATCAGTAAGCTGTGGCAGTCATCTTTAATAGGAATGACTATACATTAATCGATTGTAAATGTTCGCGTAATGTTTACTTTCTAAGAGTTTCGTTAAAAACTGTCCACTGGTTCACATATTTCGCTAATGCGAATAAAATTAAATACACAGACAGTCACAGGTGAAAATATTATCGTTCCACGTTAGCCTTCGTACGCTTACAATAACAGCAAGAGTGGAGCGACTGACTTTTTATCAATGTGGCGGAGGTTTTTTTTCTGTTTATTGTTTTCAGTTTGAGTTGTGGTATTTTAATAAAGTGCAGATTGATCTCTACAACTCCTGCTCGGCTTCACTATAATAGTGTGTTCTTCAGTTTGAAGCAGAACTAATAAGCAGCTGAACATGTTTTCAGTGTTTGTGTACATATCAAAGAGCATTTTTAATGGAAAAAAGAACAACAGAAACAAGACACATTGTCTCACTGCTTTTTCTCTCCTGTTATTTGCGCACCCTTGATGCAAAAAAAAAAAAAAAAAACACTCAAAAAGAAATACATTGCTTGTTATGTGAACAAAACTTGTTTTTGAAAATGTACCTTGAGCTCTATAATGTTTGTGAAATACTAAGCATTCAGATACTTTAAAAAAAAAAAAAATCCAACCCTATTTGCAATTTATGGCTTCAGAAACGTTGGTTTACAGGTAGTAGGAAAAAATGAATAATAAAAATAAAAGACACTCCCAAACTTTAATAATCATTTCACTTAAAGTCCAATAAATAAATGATTGCTATGTAAAAGGGGGGAAGAACTTCATTGTTTAGAGGTGATGGGAAGATGAACAGGTTTCTGGGAACATTGATAACATAACGGAATAAATGGCTTCTACCTAAGCTTTTAAAGCATTTCTGTTCCGTCGCTGTTTGCTAGAAAAGTGGTTGAATGGTAAAAAGTGCATGCCGGTTGTATTGATCGGAGCTGACTAGTGTGGCAGAGGCAGGCCCGTTCTGCTGTATCAGTGCTTTCCCGACTTTTACGAGAGGCGCTCCTGCGTATGTGTGTAGGGGGGGAGGAGTGGGGTGAAGCGTGAGACTGCACGAGTGCTAGAAGGAGTCATCTTTCTGTTGTGGATCGGTGGTAAGTAGCCATTAGTAAACTGATCTTTGGATGAGGAAATTTAATGGTCTCCTAACTGTATTTACAAGCCATTTAATTTGATAAAGGGTGTGATCTCCAATGATTCATTACGTGCCGCTTTGCTCTTCTTCTTGCAACCAGATTCGGTTATTCATCAGTATTTTTATTCATTTGTTTACCCATTTAAAATATATATATCGTCTCATCAGCATTAAACAACAGTAGAAGCTCTAATAATGTATTCTAATGTTTGCAAAATCTATTTTCAGCACTTGGTTTTGTTCTTTCTGTTAGTTTTCATTCATAGCCCCTTAGGAATTTGGCTAAATAGCGAAACGATTGTCTGGTTGTTTGCCGAGTTAAATATCCGACACTGAAGAATAAGACAAATGAAAGTATGAGGGAAGGAAGGGACCTTACAGGGGCGACAGATTAGTGCACCAATCATTGTCATCAGAATTAATTTGGTGGGGACGGAGTTCGAAAATGAAACGGCTTTCTGACTAATGAAGATAATAATGTCAGTAACATTTTGTTTTACACACTTTGTTCCCACTCCACCCTATGCTGTTTATTGTTAGTCACATTTGGGTATAGATTCATAATTCTAAACAGGTGTGTTTGTGTACTTAACACCAGCTGGTTTACACGGAAGTCAAACAAGTTTTGAAATTGCTGTGGGGTCAAAAAAGAAAGACAGCAGCAGAAAAAATAAAAGAATCAAAGGCAGTTATGGGCAGCACGGTGGCGCAACTGGTAGAGCTGCTGCCTCTCAGCGAGCAGGTCCCTGGTTCAAACCCCGGTCTAGGGGCCTTTCTGGGTGGAGTTTGCATGTTCTCTCCGTGCATGCGTGGGTTTTCTCCGGGTACTCCGGTTTCCTCCCACAGTCCAAAAACATGCATGTTAGGCTGATTGGTAACTCTAAATTGTCTCTAGGTGTGAGTGAGAGAGTGAATGGTTGTTTGTCTCGTTTGTCTCTATGTGGCCCTGTGATGGACTTGCGACCCGTCCAGGGTGTACCCCGCCCCTCGCACAGTGATTGCTGGACATGGGCACCAGCGACCCCCGTGACCCAAAATGGAATAAGCGGGTAAAGAAAATGGATGGATGGATGGAAGGCAGTTATGGAGTTTTTTTGTTGTTTTTTTTAAAGCAAGGAAGAAAAACGTTATTTTACATGGTAAAAAGTTAAAAGCACAAATTGCATAATGATTGGTCTTCATGATGATTTTCAGCTGCGGTATGCACTCTAGTTTTACACACATTGTGTGGAAAGCAATTTGCATTACTGATAGGTAAAAAATATGTCAGTAGTGTGGTAATAGCAGGATATTAGGAATGAAAAAAAAACTATTATGTAATAACTATGTAACTCCCTGGCAACACATGTTAGAATCTGATAACTGAACTCATATTATGATAATAGGAATAACATAAATAATATTTTGTAATTACTTAATTAATAACCAGGGAAATACCTTGCCGTGTAAGCTAATATTTTGTGTTGATGGCATTGTATTACAAATGTAATACATAAGAAATAGTATATAGTTGTTAAAGTAAAAATCTTGTACGCCAATAAAGGCTGATAAGATGGTTGCAGTGTGGTTAGTTATTAAGAAGGTAAAAAAAAAAAAGTGATTACTGAAGTATTAGCCATGTTTTTATCTGGAAATAATGTGATATAACACGATAAAATAAAAGTTTTTTTTTTTATTGTAAATGTTTGGTAACATGTTTGTTACTTTGGAGATTACCCAATATTACACATTTATTTAATTTTATTATCGCAGTATTAACATACTATTAACATGTTATTACCAAGCGTTAATATAAAGTGTTACAACAATGTTTTCCCAAAGTCCATAGAGTACAATAGATACTTTTTTTTCTTACAGAATACATAAAGCATGTTTTTGCGATTGGATCTTTAAAAAAAGAGGTTGGATATTAGCTGTTTAATTCTAACAAATGATCTTAAGCATATTTTCTTTATTATTATTATTATTATTATTATTATTATTATTATTATTATTATTATTATTATTATTAT